GGGAACAACAAGATACCCATACCGCTGCTCCATGGGCCTCTCCTGGGGTGCGCTCCGACCAGAAACTTCGAGGGGAACCCAGCCGTGCTGACGAGGGAACGGCAGCGTCATCGGCACGTGCTCCATCCCTGTCGCCCCTCTTGAGCTCCGCAGCTGCTCTGGCCGAAGCTGCCGAGCTCGAGCCCGCAGGATACGTGCACGTTGGACCCTACGAACTGCGCCCTGGCCCGGTCCACGCGGCGCACTGCCAGGAGCTGGCAAGTGCACCTGCCGGGCACGGCTCTCCTCGGCAGGGCGCCCACCGTGCACCTCTCCAACGGGTCCTGGCCAGGCCCCTCCCTGGGTCCAGGATCGATGCACGCGCCCCTCCTGGCGTGGCTGGGCAGACGTTTGCACCCATCTTGAGACCAAGATCGGCCTGACTGGGATCGATATGGATGCATGACTGGCGCCCTCCATTTCCTCGGTCGGATGAGGGGCCTGCCATGAGCTGTGGCGAGCAGCTCGTAGGAACCGCTCCAGAACTCGAACACGTGCCACTCGGTCGGAGCCTCGCCCTCTGGAACAGCCACGGGCAGCTCGACCATCTCGTCCGGGGCGGCGTCCCCTTCGGGCCAACTGAACAAGGACACCAAGCTCCAGCTGCTTTCGTCCACGCTCGGCTTTGGCTGCAGGCTCGTTGCGAGCAGGGTGGGGATCTCGGGCGCCAGCAGGCGGACGTCCTCGGCAGGGCGGGGCAGTGGCGGAACCAGGCACTCCAGGAGCGCGAGGCGCTCGGGGACCATCTCCTGCAAGTTGTCCGAGAGGATGAGGGAGCCCGCGCTCATCGCTGCGACCGTCGCGAGAGCGCGCGCCTCATCCAGGGGGACGTCCTCGCGGAGGATGAGGCAGTCGGGATCGTTGATCCACAGGTGCTCGCCCATCGCCAGGCGCACCATTGTATTCCTCACCATGTTCCGAGCGGCGGGCAAATTGGTGCGGTCCCTGGCGAAAAACCACCGGGTCCCCCAGACATCCGGGCCCTTGGGCAGCCAGTGCTCTGCGGTATCTGCGGACACGCGGGCCGCGTCCACGTGCCCGATGCACGGCCCGAGCGGAGCGCCACACGCCAGCACGAAGACGCGCTCTCCAGCGGCCTTCCGGATCGTGGACATCAGCCTCTCGAGCGCTGCGGCGCGCGACACCGTTGCGTCGTGCCTCACCCCCGCGGACATGGACGCGCAATGCAAGAAATCGCACTTGAGATATCGAAATCCCCACTCGTGGACGATGGTCCCAATGACCTCGTGATGCAGCCACGGTGCAACGATTACGGATGGAATCGAATACAATTCTTCGTTGATCGACTCGAGGGCGTGAGGTTTCATCCCTGCGCCCCAGAAACAATGATCGCACATCGAAGTATCAATTCGCATCGAAGCGACAAGATATACCAGATGCACGCATACGAAGTAACATGACAATCGATCGAATTTAATGGTCAGCCCAACCTTGCTGATGTGCTCGACTACAGCTGGGTTGGTCACGTCGAGCGCCTGCATCCAAAGCCCTGGGGCCGTGAAACCGCACTTCACGGGCTTCCCATCCGAAGCGCGCAGTATCCAGTCAGGGTGCTCGTTTGCCACCCTCGAGTGCGAAACCAAAGCGGCTGGGGCTAACCAAATCCCAGGCGTCAAGCCTACATTTTTTATCTTGTGGGCGAGTGGCCTCAGCCCCTGAGGGAACCTGGCCAGATTGGGAGAGAGCCAATCGCCCCATGCACTCTGCCAGCCGTCGTCCAGCTGGAACAAGTTGCAGGGGAGCCGTCGCCGATCCCGCTCGCCCACGAGTTTTTGTAGGGAGTCCTCCATCAGCGACATGTTCACAGTGGGGCCATGGCAATACCAGGAGCACCAACCGAGCGGGCGCGGATGGCGGCGCTGCACCCCGCAGTGCAGCGCCACGAGCTCCAGATAGAGCCGCAGAGCGCAAGCACCGGCTTCGACGTGCCGCAGGCTGCAGGCGCCGGACAGCGCCTCCACGTGCCTCTGGTCCTGTCCCGGAGGCAAGCGGGCCACGACTCTGGGGCTCACGGGTGTCCGCACTGGGGGATGCGCAGTCTGGCCCGGAGGAATTCCCAGGGACATCCGAGTGGGAGGAGCCCATCCAAATGGGAGGAGCCCATCCTGGAGGAGCCCTGGCCTTCTGAGAAGTGCTCTAAGCCTTCGCCGAGGACACAAAAGCCTCTCAGAAGGCGCGAGGGCTTCTGAGAAGTCCCGCCGCCTTCTGAGAAGGCCTTCTCCTTCTCACTTCCCCCCCTCGCTCGTCGCCGAGTTGGGGAACTGGAAGGACCGTGCAGGTCTCAAACCCAATCATGGAGACGCATAGTTAGCCATAGTAGAGCGCCGTGAAGCAATGGTCCACGGCTTGCCAGCGTGGGCCCAAGACGGTTGGTTCCTGCACTCTCGGTGTGCTGGTCTTTGCGGTACAACATGTGCACAGGGCAACGGTTGCGTTGCAACGCACATCTGTGTACTATTGACCTCAATATATATATATATATACACACATATATATATGTATGTGTGTTTCTGCATGTGTATATACATGTGAGTATATGCATACATCTCAATATACATATGCACACATGTAGCTGTTCTATGTTTGTGTATGCAATCATTCATACCAACATCCAGCTACACACATACATACCTACGTACTACACAATCACACGTGCATACATACATACACACAAACATACGTAACACATACATACACGCATACATATAACCATACATTACAATCCATTGCATTACATGGCGTTCCATTCCATTGCATTGCATTCCATTACAAACATACATACACACATACACACATCCATACTTTCGTATCCAAACACCTACATGCACACACACATCCATACATTCTATACCATACACTACCATGCCATACATACATACACACATACACGTACATACATACATACATACACACATACATACGTACACACATACATACATACATACATACATACATACACATACACACATACATACATGCAACACACATGCTTCCACACATACGTACATACATAAATGCATACATGCATACATGCATGTATACTCGCACATGCATGCATACATGCATACACACATATGCATTCGCACTTATACACAAGCATACGTACATACGTACACACACACGCATACATATATACATACACACGTATTTACATATATACAAACATCCATATCTACAGATGTGTATATGCATAGTTTTGTGCATATACATGGATTGCAGCTTGTGCGATGCAGTGTATGTGATGCGATTCATGCTGTGTAGTGTATGGTATGCAATCTACGTTATGGTGGTGCAATCTGTGCTGTGCAACAAATTGGGTGCAAGTGTGATAGAACAATCCAAGGCGTGCAAACGGTGTGGTGCTAATTCTGTGGTGCAAGCTACGTAGTGCAATCTGCGTGGTGCAAGCTGTATGGCGTAAGCTTTGCGTGCGCGCCTGGAGATGCGAGCCATCGCACGCGGGCACCCCAAAGGCGCGCACCAACCGAAAGCCTGGAAACGCCAGCCGTCATCAATAGACGCCCACGAACGGCAGGCGCGTTCCACTACTCGCAAAGCAACTACTCGCAATGGCCTGGATCCGCCCGGGGAGTGTGTGTATAGGGATACGACCGAGGGGCCGATCCTACACCAGGGTCCGTAGGTAGAGGCAAAGGAGGAAGAGGTTAGCTACTCCTTTTCCTGGGCGCTGCGCGGAGAGCAGCGCGGTATGATGTTCAGAGCCGATACGTTAGCGGTGCATGACGATGTAACGGTGACGTGAGCGGACTTCACACACAGGGAGATCTACGATCCATCACATAGAAGGAAGACCTGTTGTTTCGGACATTTGCGAGCAGGCACTTTGCGAGCAATGGCACGCGCTCGGTAACACGGGGTGCCCGCGTGCCCGCCTGCCGAAGGTCCGGAGACGCCAGCCAGCACACGGTGGGCGCCCTCCGGCCGAGAGCTTGCAACAACGAGCCACCGCACGGAGCGCCCACGAGGCTCCCGCGGGTACACTCCGGGTGAGGACCCGGAAACGCTGGCCCATCGTTCAGAGAGCGAGGGAGGAGCCTCAGTAGTGCAAGCACCGTTTGGGGAACTTTGCCTTCAACCCTTCCCCTGCAAGGTCAGAGAGCTTTAAGCCCGCTGCTCTCTGATCGGGCGCAGCCTACCCGACCCCTAGCAAACCATCCCCTTCCGTGACGTCACCCTCACCTTTCAAGCTTCTTTCCGGCGAGGCGAGGGGGACGTCAGGAAGGGGATGGCTTGCTAGGGGTCGGTTAGGCCGCCCCTGATCTGGTCGCGCCTGTGCTGGCCCAAAGGGCGCCACGACGGCCCAGTCGGAGGCCACCGCGACCCCTGGGCGCAGAGCCACGCCCGCCTCGCTGAAGAGCAGTAGCCTCGGAGGCTCCACGGCGTCCAACGCCGCCACGCCCCCGAAGCCGCCGCACTGCCGCAGGAAGCCGGCCACCGCCCCGCCGAGACCGTGCAGCCAGAAGACGCCGAACATGTCGCTCACGAGCGCCCCGTCGCTGCCCTCGAGAGGCGAGGCCAGGACGAGGAAAGACATCAGGCGAGGTCAAGGCGAAAATCTCGGAGATCCGGCGGCTCTGGAGGATGTCTCGGGCGCCGCGGCCTTCTCAGAGCGTTCCTGAACGCTCAGAGAGCGTTCTGGAACGCTCTGGAGCGGATTTGTCCTCGTCCTAACTGAAGGGGCCCCAGGACACACAAATAAATACACACAAATAAAATGATTCCCCATATTTTCCCATATTTTCTGGGTTTTTGTCTTCCCCACCACTTCCCATAATTTCCCATATTTTCTGGGGAATTGACGATTAATTGTGTCTGTGTGTTTCTTTTCCTCCTGACTAACCCCGTCCGACCTCGGCCCCCTCTGGCAGCGAGGCGCCGTCGTGGAAGGCGCCTCGGGGGCTCTGCTGCAGGATCAGTCAGCATCGCATCGGCAGGTCGGATCGGATCCTACTGTGTATGAGGGGGGCCCCAGGACACACAAATAAATACACACAAATAAAATGATTCCCCATATTTTCCCATATTTTCTGGGTTTTTGTCTTCCCCCCCACTTCCCATATTTTCCCACATTTCCTGGGAATCGACGATTAATTGTGTCTGTGTGTTTTTTCCTCTCCTGAATAATGTGTATCGGATCGGGCTGCATCGGCACGGAATCGAAACAGGATCGGACCGGCTGCGCCAGGGTGCACAACAGCGCCGTGCAAGCATCGGTCCGCATCGGATCGTCGGAATCGAGTCGGATCAGGTGGGCCAGAATCGACGTGGAATCGGATCGGTCGGATCGAAATGGGGCCCTGCTCTGCGGTGGGGAAGCTGGCGCTGGGGCCACAGAAAGTTCGATCAGCAGGAGATGCCAGCAAACTGCTCGGCTCGACGGCCTCGTCTCGGAAGACTTGCTACTACTCGTCCGCGGCTCCGCCTGCCATCGTCTTCCCAGAAGCATTGCGAGACCCAGCAGCTGAGCAGAAAAGCCGCAAACTTCGGCACATCCGCTCAAAATCTGCAAGCTCTGGAGCCGGCGACCCTCTGCACTGCCCCCTCCAGCCCCCCCGAATTCAGACCCCCCCGGCGCCGGAGAAAAACGGCATGCACGTGCGGGGCTGCGGCACCGCGCCGTGGAGCACGCCGCTGAAGCTGAAGCTCTGCCAGCCGTTGACCAGGAACGACGAGTGCTCCGGGCTCCTGCGCCGCGTGCCGGCGTCCCTCGCGAGCACCTGCCGCAAGAGCTTGCCCCAAGCCTGTGGACGGACTGGGACCCAGCACCCGTGCCCGAGAGCCTTGCGCAGCCGCCGTGCTGCCAGAAGGAGCGCTGAACAAGGACCGAGGGGGGCTCTTGCTGGCCACGGCGAGCCTTGGCTTCGATTAGGTTTAGGTCGGGCATGTCCCCCCACAGGCGGATTTTGGGCGAAAGGTGAAACATACACCAAAAATGATCAAACATAGCAAGAAATAGCTGGGAGATCGTCCCCAGACTTTTTTAAAATTAAAAAAACAAACAACTATTTTTGAGTATTCCCCCTGTAGAGGGACATGCCCGACTTAAGATTAGGTTCGCCGACCTGGATCTGAGGAACGGTCCGAAGACCGGAGCCTCTCCGGACCCCAAGGCGGTCCTCCTCTCGGCGTCTTGACTGCAGCCGGGAGCGGAGTCAGGGTGTCAAGAGCAGTGGAGGCCAGTCCACAAGAAACCTTCCACAAGAAACCCGACCCTGAGATCCCAGGACGCCCAGTGATTTTTGGTGTGGGAACGTCACGTTTTCCATCGCAAAGCCATCGAAACCCAAGAAGCCCAGGGCACCCTGGAGGCAAGCAGGGTGCTTCTGAGCATGGGCCCACTGTACGAGGCGGCAGCCAGGCGGTCACAAAGACTTTGCCACATCGGACGGCACTTCTGGACGTCCTGGACGGGATCGCCTTCCAGCGCAGACCTGGATCGAACTTCGACCTCTCCCGAGGCAGATCCTGCATAATCCATCCGCTAGGAGCCCAGGTCCCGAAGCAGCCGTCGGAATGGTAGAACACCGCCTGGTCTCATGAGCCAAGCGAGCCGCTCTGGACACCGTGAACCTGAAGAAAGTGCCATCTCCTGGAGCGGCAATCTTCGGGCGGGTGGTAATGGAGGGTGACCCAACTGGGGGGGGGGAGAGAAGGGCCCCAAAGGGGCCCTTCAGGGCCCCTTTCGGGCACCAACTGGCTGCGGAAGGGGCCCTAAAGGGCCCCTTTTGGGCCCTTGTCTTCACCCCCCAGCTGGGTCACCCCCCGATACCACCCGCCCGAAATCTTTGACTCCACCATCTTCCGCTGGCGGAGCCGCCCCTGTCTTGCTTCCACAGGCCTCCGCCAAATCCGCCGACCCCTCGGCGTGTGCGACGCTGTCGTCGTCGTCCTCGTCGTCGCCGCCAGCCCCAGTGAAATCGAGGAGCGAGCACAAAAAAAAGGAGCGTCGTGACTACGTCGATCCCCTCCCTTTTTTCCCCTCTCCGACGACGGGGGTGGGGGGGTACGGGGAGGGGTAGGAAAGGGGGGTGCGAGGGGGGGGGGTGAGGGGTGGGGTCCGGGGTCGGGTGGCCGCCCCCCCAAGGGTCCCGGGGAGGAGGAGGAGGAGGAGGAGGAGGAGGAGGAGGAGGAGGAGGAGGAGGGGGAGGAGGAGGAGGAGGAGGAGGAGGGGAGGAGGGAGGGGGGCCCCCCTCCCCTCCCTGTGTCCCCCCCTGTGGACCGGGGGGACACGACAGGGGGGCACGGGTGCTCTTCCCTCGGCCCGCCGGCCTGGGGCCGGCACGCGGGCCAGCCCGCGGGGGCGGGAGCCCGCGGAGGCGCGCCGTCGGAGGCGGGGCCCCGCTCGCCGCCGGGCAGCGCGTGCAGCTGCAGGGGCGCGAGCTGCACTCGCTCCTGGGGTGGTGCTCCCCTCCTCTCGCTCACCTCTCGCTCTCCTCCCTCCCTCGCTCTCTCTCTCTCTCCCTCTCCCTCCCTCCCCGCATCCAGTTGCTCTCTGCTCTCTTGCTCCCTCTCTCTCTCTCTCTTTCTCCATCGTTTTTTTTTTGTTCTCTCTCTCTCTCTCTTTCCCTCATGACCTTAGATCTGCCGCTCTCTCTCTCTCTCTCTCTCTCTCTCTCCCTCGCCTTCCCTCCTTCTCTCTCTCTCTCGCTCTCTGTCTACAACAGTACCTCTCTCACCATCTCCCTCTACATCTGTGTGTCGAACCAGCATCGACGAAACCCTCACCGCCGTCATGGCCGAGCATTTCAATCGCCAAGCAGACGAGCTCGCCACCAGGGCGATGGTCCTCCATGACCTGCCAGCCGAGGTCATCCAAGAGGCGAGGGCTCGCCACAAGTGCGACCACCGCGCCCGCACCCCTCCACTTCAGCGCCGCCGTGCAGAGTGCACAAAGGCGAGCTCCGTCGCGCGGACCCCCGCCCGGCCCTCTCGGATGCGGCCTCGCGGCGCGCCCCTGGGGGACGGTCACATCGCCGACATCCCGCAGGCCGCCTCTGGGAAGGCGTGGGCCGAATGCCCTCTCGATCCCGAGAACGACCACAGTCCTGTCGGCCTCGGGGGCTCTCTCGACCAACGCGACGACGACCGACCACCCCCCCCAGCAGACACAGGCCGAGCCACCGCCGGCCAGGAGGACCACTTTCTTGCGCCCCGGGCGGCCCCGGGCGACCAGGGAACACAGACCACCACCGCACCACCTTTTCCGTCGCAGCGCGGCAGAGGCGGTCCGCACGCGCGCTCTAGTGAGCCGGGCTGTGGCAGGCACCAGCCGTCCGGCGGCAGCAGTGGGGGAGAGAGGCGAGGCTCGGCCGCCGCGGGCGGGAGAGGAGGGAGGGCACAGGCCGCCTGGTTTCCCCCGAGGAGGCCCACAGCAACGAACGCCCCGACGCCGAGGGCGACTGCGATCCTTGTGGCCTCGGCGGTTCTCTCGACCCACGGGATCAACCGCCTCCCCCTCTGGAGGCTGGCCGAGCTACCGCCGGCCAAGGGAGCCGATCTCCTGCGCCCCACGCGGCCTAGAGCGACCACGGGAAGCCAGCCACCACCGCACCATGCGGCAGTCAAGCTCCTTCCGAGGACGCCTGCGGCAACGGATACCCAGACGTCGACGACGACTACTAAGACGAAGCCAGGACGAGGATAAATCGAAAATCTTTGAGATGCGGATGGCAAGGCTACACCGAATTATAGTGCACTGTCCGAGGTCCCAAACTCTGGCACGAATTGCTTGAGTTTAGGCCAGGGGGAAAACAAACTTACCCCAGCGGCGAACCATCTGCCGCAAATGCCCTCTGCGACTCCGCGCTTCCTGCCAAGCGGAGCCCTCGGGGATCCCTTGAGCAGCCAAGAACCTTTCAACCTCTCTGGAGCTCAGCAGAGCCTCTCCTCCACTGCGCCGTACATGCCTCTGGGCCTCAGAGGCTGCGAAAAGAAAGCTCGACGAGAAGAGATGTGATGCATCAGCTTCAAGGGCGAGCGGCCGCTGCGCGCAGCTGGTGCCTCTCGGGGAATGCAGGACAAGATGGAAGACACCCCGCATGGGTGAATAGAGAACTCCCGGATGGTGCCAGAATAGATGGGGTCAGAGGATTGCGCCGCATCCTCGATGCATCGCCGCTGCATCGGCGACGTCGGCATGGATGAAGAAGATCGGGCTCCACAACGAGCCGCATCGCCGATGCATCGGTGATGCGGCGCGATCCTCCGACCCCTCCTACTCTGACCCCATCCGGGAGGACAGGAGTGAAGCCGTACATGCCAGGTGCAGCGCAGACGTCAGAACTGGCGGAGTCCGCCGGCACGGCCAGGCTCTGCGAGCACTTTGGGGAGGCAGAGCTGCGAGCGCAGCGGGCACCGCTGGGGGGATGGCGGATCTCCAGTGGCGGAGGTCCAGGGAGGCCGAACTCGGCGGCGAGCCCAGGGGGGAAGTGAGAAGGGCCGGGCCTTCACAGAGGGCTCGGAAGGCCTCGGGCCCTCTGAGGAGTTCTCTCGGCCTTGCCCCGCAGGCGCAGCAGACTTCCCCGAAGGCCGGAGGGCCTCCGAGAAGCCCCGCCGCCTTCTGAGAGGGCCGGCCCCCCCTCTCGCTTCCCCCCCCCCCGGGGCGCGCCGCCGACGAGCGCACCCCGAGCGGTGCCCCTCGGGGCCGGCCAGGACCTCGGAGGTATACGCGCAGCAGGCCACGGCTGCGCGCGGGCCGCAGCTTTCTCGACGCCTGCACCGCGCGCAGTGGTCGGAGGGCGGGGCGCGTGCGCTGGGACTGCTTTGGGGCCCCCTCTCCGGGGCCGCAGCTCCGGCCGGGAGCTCGGCGCGTTCCCCCGCAGCGCCACGCCGAGCGCGGGAGAGCCCAGAGGCGAAGCGAGACGTCGCAGCGGCGATCGAAGCGAGTCTGGTCGGCGGAAAGCGGCGGCCGAGTCGGGAGAAGTCGAATCTGTGGAAATCCGCGGGCCAATGAGGCCTCCCTTTGGACACTGAAATCCAAACATCGGAATCCGAAAACGAATGGGCTCGGAGTCGGGAATCGGTCGAAATCGAATCGAATCGAGTCGAAGGAGTCGAAATGATCCCTGCGACCGCGGCATCTCCCATGTGAGCCAGGCTGGCCCAAATGTCGGCTGGCGCACACATGTATGTACTCCGCGCGGGCTCCTTCGGGTGCAAGGGGCGCTGAAATGAGTCAAATGGTCGGGGGTTGCAACAATTCTGGTGGACGAGTGGCCGTCCTTAAGCGTTTGGCCTCTGATCTGTCCGATGCGTGTGCAGCCGCGGGCTGTGGACAAAGCCGAGTGCTGTGGCCCCAATGGGTGGTGGCCCCGCCGTCCCGACTCGATGCTCCCTGCACGAGCCTTTCAAGCCGTGACTGCGGGTGCTCACCCAGATCGCACCACATCCCTGGGGGAAATCGCAGAGAACGAGTCCAAACTCATTGATCACGAGCAGGCTGTGGCCGAAGTGATCCGAGTGCGGCAACAACCGGTGCGAACACCGTCCCAGGAGTGACTCACTGGGGCGGCGGCGCGCTGGGCACACGAGCAGGAGGCCAGGGGAAAGGCGGGGGAGGCGGACATGCATGAGGCCACTAGTGGGCGAGAGCGGGGCGATGTGCAAGGATGATCGCGTAAGCGTCGTCTGGTGGACTGGCGGGTAGCTTCGGACCTAGTCGGTGCTGCCTTGGTGCGGAAGAGGCGACAGTTGGTTTAAGCTGGGGTACGCCATGCATGAGTTGACGAGGCGCTACGAGCACGAAGTTCCCGCTCTGAGCATGTGGGACTGTAGGGGGGGATGTGAGGAGGAATGTTAGAGGACGTGAAATGGATGGACGCCAGGAGAGGAGGAGATATAACGCGATTGAGGTGCGCGAAATGGAATGTTTAAGCCAATCTGCTAGACAATGATTGTACCTTGCTCTGGCTGATGGTCATATCCATCGGACACGACTGTCGTGTAGAGCTCCATGTAGTCGTTGCGCCCTGTCGGCGATAGGCGTCCACATCGATATGGCGTTGGGGGCCTTCGAGTGGGCTGGATTTGTTCCGCCCCTGGGGTGGTCTGTGCATGCATCGTTGCTGCGTGCGGGGGATTCGTAATGTGCTTCGATGGTGCTGCTTATGGGGTCTGATGCGATGTGCAATAATCACAATCGCAACACTGGGTGCGGACTGGTGCCGGGCTGAATACCTCGGTCGGCGCTGCTTAGGGAACCTCCGAGCGCTTCGGGAAGTAAGAATTCGGCGCCTCGTCCTCCTCTCTTCTTCCTCCTCCTCCTCCTCCTTATCTCGTTGGGTCCCTCTCCCTCTCCTCTCCCCACGCTCCCCGAGTGATGTGGGAGGGTCTAGGAGGGTGGCACCCATGTAGGTGGCAAGGGTCGGGACGGGCACCTCTTTGATGACATTTGCCCGCCCAGGCTCCAACACCACCTCCTCGTCGCTCTCGTCCAGCGTCGTCTCACAGGGAAAAGGGAACTTGAGCGCTTGAGCTACAGTCGACCCGTATCATAAGGATGCACGATGAGGATGCAAGGGCCTTGGAAGGCCGTTTCGAAGCTTTTCGGGCGGGGCGCGGCCAGCGAAAGTGGCCAAGGATGGACCGAGGAGGCAAGGATGCAAGGGTACCCCTGGGAAAATTGCGCATCGTTGCTCTGCGGGTTGGCTATACCCCCCGGTGCGGCGCGGGACATTACCCTCGCTAGCCCGCCACCTGCAAGCAGACGGGCCCAAGGAAGTCGCCAAGATCAACGTGCACCCAAAAACACAGCACACAACATGTCGGCTCCCATGTAGATGTTCCCCTCCGGTGTTGGGTGCTCGCTTGTTTTGAATCGAGCACTGTGGTATCCACTCCTTCGACTTCTCCTCCCTCCTCCTCCTGCGCTGCTCCCAGGATGGCTGCGAACTGGGCAACTCTTGCCTTTTCGCTTCTGAGAGGTCCAGCGGAATTGAAGTGTACGCGGGCCCAAACAGGACCGCGTTGCCTCTTGGGTGCCTGCGAAGCGCGCAACCGCCGCCACTTTCGTGGGCTCCTGGGAGGTCCAGCGGAGTGGAATTGTACGCGGGCACAAACAGAACCTCATTGCTTCTTGGGTGACTGCGAACTGCGCAACTGTCGCCACGTTCGTGGGACCCAGACGCGACCTCGCGGCTCCCTGGGTGGCTGCGAACTGCGAAGCCGTCGCTGCTTTCGGGGGCTCTCCTTCCCGAACGTGATCGCGTCGTGAAAAAAATCCGCCGACCCCTGGTGGGTCTCTAGGCGCGTGAAGATATCCCCCCCGTAATCCCCCCCCACGGACCCCAAACCGGCAATTCGACCCTCCCCCCCCCTCCTGACCCGGCGCGACCCCGGACCGATCGCGCCATGGGGGAGCAGAGGGCTCCAAAACGGACCAAGAAGGCACCAAAACGCTCCCCAGACGGTCCCAGAGGGCCACGAGGAGCCGAAATATCGCTCCTTGACGCCCGCGATGGTCTCCAGACGGCCTCCGAAGCTGCCAAGACGCCCCCAAAGGCCCCCAAGATGCGTCCCAAGAGGGTCCGAAGAAACAAAAATCGCCCTATTCAAAACAGCATTTTTCGCATACTCGCCTTTTCGGCTTTCATAACGTCCAAGACGGACAAAGAAACTTTCAATATCGCCCACGGACCGCCGAAGGGGCCCCCAAGAGGGGTCGAAGAGGGTCCAAAAACAGCCCACGAAGCCCTCAAGACAGCCCAAGAGGGCCTTCAGACGGCTCCCAGAGGGAGTCCAGAGGGCACCTTTTCGAGCCTTCGGCCCCAAGAAGCCCCCAGCCTGCCCCAAGAACACCCCAAGAGGCCCTGAGGGACCCCCAAGAGAACCTCAGAGGCCTCCAAGAAGCCTCCAGGAAGCCCCCAAGAGGCCCCAAAACTTGAGGCGGCCGGATATGGCCTGCAGACAAGCCAAGATGCCACCAAAAGGCCACGAAAGAGCAGCAAGAGGTACGATAACAGCAACGAAGCAACAGGAACAGCGCCGTGTCATGATTCGGACAAGTCCGTGAAATGCAGTCCTGGAGACGCAATATTTTATGCAGGGGTCGGCGGATGTAGTGTAAGCCTATAGAATCAGAGCTGCAATTTTTGCAGCAATTTCGGCCCCTGTGGACCGTCAAAAAACGACCCAAGGTGACAAACTGGCCTTGGAAAGGGTCTGGACTTCCAGGGACGGCGTGCTGAAAAAATCAAGACGTCGCATGTCTGAGCTCCCACCAGGCATCGGCAACAAAGGAACACATAATAATAATAATAATAATAATAATAATAACAATAATGACAATAATGCTAACAAAACTAATAATAGTAATCGTAATATCAATAGTAATAATAATAATGCTAATCGTAATCGTAGTAAAATAATAATAATGATAAGACTAGTAATAATAATAACAACAATAATAATGATAATCATAATACTACGAATGCTACGGATACTAATACTACTACTAATACTACTAATAATAATAATGAAACATAATGATAACAATACTAATACTAATAATACTACACATAATAATAATAATGATAATAATAATGATGATGCTGATAATAATAATACTAATAATAATAAGAATAAGCATTACTCCGACGGAAGGACCCCACATGATAATCTGTTTAGCTTTCCCTTATCCCTTTCCTCCCGGCCATGGCAAACACCCTCGTATCGCCCTCTCCTCTGCCATCTTTTCCTCTTCTTCTATTTCCCCCCCCCTCCTTCTCCTCCTCCTCCTCCTCCTCCTTCTCCACCTCCTCCTCATCATCGCCCTCCCCATGCCCCTTCCGTCCTCATCCTCCTCCTGCCTCTTTTCCACGTGCACGTCCCTTTCCCCCCGGTCGGGGGAAGCAAGTCGATTTTCCTCGGCGCCGTCGCCGCCTCGGTCAGAACGCGCGCGTTTGCCGACGGCCAGATCGCGAAGCCGTCGGGTCAACCCTTCGGGCCAGCCATGCCTGCGGGGCACTCCCGCGGGCCGCCGGAGCGCGAGGGCAGGCCGTCGGGACAACCCCGCGGGCCAGGCCGTTGGGACAACCCCGCGGGCCTCCTCGCGCGCGCCGCGGCGCTCAGGCGGGCGGCAGCACGAAGCCCAGCTCTGCCGCGAGCTGCTCCGCTTCAGCCCTGGAGTCCACCGCTCTCTCGTCGAACTCCTGGAGCGCCTTCCGCAGTGACGCCGGCGGCCCGCGCTCCAGGAACTCTCGCGCGGGCGGCCGCAGGATCAGCATGTTCCGCATGCACGTGGCGCGGGAGAACATGACGTAGAGGTGCAGCCACCACATATCGTCCGACATGCCCGTGCGGCCAGCGTCCTCATCCCTGGCGCAGTCGATGGTGACGCCCTTGCGCAGCGTCTGGCCCTGCGACAGCGTGGAGGTCAGGTAGGACGCGTGCGTCAGCGTGAATCCCGAGCGGCGCACAGTGTGCGCCCCCGAGCTCTGCCACGTGAACTCCTGCTCGCTGGGCCTGAACATGAGCAAGCTCCTCGCCCGCGCCTGGGCCTCGCCGTCGTCGTCAGCGCCCTCGGTGCCCTGCAGCAGCACCTCGGCGACCTCCTTGTAGATCGGGGACTCCTGGAAGCCGTGCACATGCAGCCAGATTCCCTGCGGTAGGAAGCGGGGGCGGAAGAGCTGGCCCGGCGCGCACTCCTCGTAGTCCCGCTCGTCGTCTGCGTGAAACTCGAAGGACACGATGGTGGCCCGTTGCTCCTGCACGAGCCCCAACTTCTTCTTCAGCTCCTCCTGCACGGCCGTGAACCGGACCTCCATGCCGACGTGTGCCGGTAAGACGCCGTGGATGTCCCCCGTCTTGTGCATGTTCGGGACGTTCAGGAGGCGCCGGCCTGCGTCAGGTTCGCCTTGAATCGTGCCGCACTCGTCTACGGCCTGCAGGAAAACGAGGGGGACGCCGAGGCGCCGCGCGTCGCGACGAGCGCGCGTGTTGATCCACCTCGCCAGCGTCTCCCAGTAGATGCCCATGCCGTAGCCGAGCCGAAAGTTCTCGTGCTGGTGCCGAGGGTCCAGGACGCCGTGGTTGTCAGAGGCCAACGTCTTCTCCCAGGCAGACCAGACCTCTGGTGGGAAGCGCTTGCCCTCGCGCATGCAGCCCAAGAACGCGATCAGAGGGTCCCCCGGCTCGAAGCGCTTCGTGCCCTTCAGCTCGAAGACGCAGGGGATCTGAGAGAATACCCTGATGGCGTGCTGGATCTCCACCGTCGGCGGCTCCGCGTACTTGTACGACCCGTCGTCCAGGAGCTCGTTCACGTCCGTCAGGAGCCCGATGCTGCCGGTGGGCTTCAGCTGCAGGAAATCCCCGAGGTGCAACACGATGGGGACGCGGCCGAAGTGGTGGTGCGGCCTCTTGTAGGTGGACTCCTGCACGTCGTGCGTGTCACTGCGCCCGTGGCAGGCGCGGAGGTCCAGAGCGTTGTACAGAGCAGCTGCCACCATGCTCACCTCCTCGATGACCAGGACGCGGACGTGCTCCCACAACCACTGCAATCTCTTCTGCATGCTCCCCGGTCTCATCTTCGCGTTGATGTACTTCTGGACTCGCAGGGCACAGGCGTTGTGCAGCGTTCTGGCCTTCACCGTCTCCGTGGAGATGTTCTTCGCCTGCGCGTTCGAGAAGGCCACGACCATCATGGCGCCCTTGTCCTGCGCCGACGAGGGCCACAAATACTCCACCACTGGGAAGACGATCTTCTGCACCACGTGCGTCTTCCCCGAGCCGCCCTGGCCCAACAGGAGCAAGTGCGTCACTTTTCTCTCGCTCCAGGGCTTCTTCTGCACGTCGTCCTCCCAGGCGTCGTCGCAGGCCTTGGCGAACTTGGCGACGAAGAGCGTCTGGTCCCGCGTGAGTCTCTCGTTCTCCGGCAACCCAGCGACCAGGGCGGCGATGTACGCGCTGGGCGTTGAGTACACGCTGCTGGCAAAACTGGCCGCAGCGGGGTCGCCGCCCAGGCCGCCTGCGCCCGCGTCCTCGCCGTCCGGAGCGCCTGCATCTTCCTCGTCGCGATTGTCCTGGAGGCGTTCGTCGTGCAGGTTTCCCCAGGCGTGTCTCTCCTCGCGCGCCGCGGTCACCAGCGGTCGGTACCCGGCCGCGGGCGCGGGAGCAGTCGCGGCCTCCGTCGGCTCGGGCGCACCCGCGCCCTCGCGGGCCGCCTCGGACATGCACGGGAGCGCGAGGAGCTCCTTGGCCAACCTCGTGAGGCGCTTACGGTGCGCGAAGTTCAGCACGTCCGCCATGTCCTGCTCCCCGTCGATGCCCCACGTCGGGACCGGCTGGAAGTGTGCTCCGACACGCTTGGGAGGCGCGCCCGGGTGCTCCACGCCCTCGCCCGCCTCGGCGCCCTCGTCCTGACCGGCACCTCCACCGGTGGTCGCCTTGAGGTACGCGCTCTGCACTGCTGCGTCGCTCTGGTACTGCCGGGGTTTCTTCTCCTCGC